ACAACCTTAAAACTACTACTTCAGTCTAGTGACAACCTTATAACTACCACTTAAGTCTAGTGACAACCTTATAACTTATACTACAGTCTAGTGAGAACCTTATAACTATTTCAGTCTATTAGTAACAACCTTATAACTACCACTACAGTCTAGTAACAACCTTATAACTACTACTTCAGTCTAGTAACAACCTTATTACTACTACTACAGTCTAGTTACAACCTTATAACTACTACTACAGTCTAGTACCAACCTTACAACTACTACTAAAGTCTAGAGACAACCTTATAACTACTACTACAGTCTAGTGAGAACCTTATAACTATTTCAGTCTATTAGTAACAACCTTATAACTACCACTACAGTCTAGTGACTACCTTATTACTACTACTACAGTCTAGTTACAACCTTATAACTACTACTACAGTCTAGTAACAACCTTATAACTACTAAAGTCTAGTGACAACCTTATAACGACTACAGTCTAGTGACAACCTTATAGCTACCACTTCTGTCTAGTGACAACCTTATAACTACTACAGGCTAGTGACAACCTTATAACTACTACAGGCTAGTGACAACCTTATAACTACTACTACGGTCTAGTGACAACCTTATAACTACCACCTCTGTCTAGTGACAACCTTAAAACTACTACTACAGTCTAGTAACAACCTTATAACTACTACTTCAGTCTAGTAACAACCTTATTACTACTACTACAGTCTAGTTACAACCTTATAACTACTACTACAGTCTAGTAACAACCTTACAACTACTACTACAGTCTAGTGACAACCTTATAACTACTACTACAGTCTAGTGACAACCTTATAACTACCACTTCTGTCTAGTGACAACCTTATAACTACTACTACAGTCTAGTAACAACCTTATAACTACCACTTCAGTCTAGTAACAACCTTATAACTACTACTTCAGTCTAGTAACAACCTTATTACTACTACTACAGTCTAGTTACAACCTTACAACTACCACTTAAGTCTAGTGACAACCTTATAACTACAAATTCAGTCTAGTGACAACCTTATAACTACTACTAAAGTCTAGTGATAACCTTATAACTACTACCTAAGTCTAGTGACAACCTTATAACTACCACTTCAGTCTAGTGACAACCTTATAACTACCACTACAGTCTAGTGACAACCTAATAACTACCACTTCAGTCTAGTGACAACCTTATAACTACTACTACAGTGTAATATTTACATTCTGTATGCTTGGACCCATTGGCGAAAATGACATTCATTTTTGCATAACACAGGTGACCTCATCACTGCGTATTGATACACTTTAATGAGGTAGCACAGGGCGTAATTGTTACACGTCCGCCGTGAAACAGCCGTGTAGTTTAGTTATGCTAATAAGATTAACATTAAACATGATAGGCTTCATTTTAATTCTAAAATGAGGTGTGTAAGGTACATGATAATAATATCCGACGTGTGCTAGTTCTACAAATTAAATTTGAAAATAGAACTACGGTATATTCTGTTTGTTTTGTTGTCATGCTGTTGGTAGGACCCCCACCGAAAGTTTTACATTTTTCCCGCGAAAACACGCTGTTCTCTCTACTGCGTTGCCGCCATGCACAAAAATAATTACAATGCCAGTTTATTGTTATTTATGCTTGCATCGGAAAATTCAAAGCACTTAAAAATGTAAATATAAGGAATGAAATTTATTTTATCAACATTCATGAGGTCATAACAACATTGGCTTTCTGGACATATTTACCAAGAATCGCGTGACCTCATGAATGTTGAAAAAATAACCTTCATTCCTTAAGTGACAACCCAATAACTACCACAGTCTTACAACAGCCTTATCACTATCATATGATTTTTGACAAGCTTATAATTACTTTCAAAGTATACTGAAAACTTTAAAGATAATTTTGCCACGAAGATCAAGAAAACATGATGTGCATCCTTTATAAGTTTATTTTGTTTCATGAGTTGGACATAAGTCATTAAACTACAGAACATGATACAACAACATATATAGATATAAATAAATACAGGGAGTAACCTTCCAGGGACACAACAGGATATAACACTGGTTAACTTCTAGGTCCTGATTCACACATCCACAGGATATTTACACTTGAAAACAGAACATGATATAACTATTAAAATGCAATCCTTCCCCCAGACGATCTATATATAGGAATACACACTCAAGCTTATGGCTTTTTCCATGGTGCTGACTGTTGATTTTAAGAGCATGTTGTTACAACTAATTAGTATACCTCTATTTGGTTTACTCTATTACTATGTAGCTGTAGCTCATGGGATTTGTTATAGCCCCATGCTTGCCCGGACTTTACCAGCTAGTTATAGATAGGAGTTATAGCTCTGCATTAGTCTGAAAGCAGCTAAACCACTGCAGACTGAATCCCTTTGCAGTTTGAATAGCTTCCTTGTGGAAATAACAAGTGCTATCAGGTAAGAGGTAGTCAGTGGTATTGATATTTGATCTTGACTCCTCAATCTTTGTGTCTATCGATTGAGACATCACTGCAGACAATAGGGACATGGTAGATATGGTTCCTGGTATGTTTTTCATGCCACCAGACCTATCAATTGACCCTTGACATTTAAAAATTACAAAAGTCAAGTCACCTTTTTCTGAAATATGAAGGGTCAAAACACATGTTGAAAAGTATATAAAAAGTATATCAACTAAAACCCAAGCTGTCAAAAACATACTCCCAAGGGTCTAGGTCTGTTTTGTAGAGCAACTGTATAGTATAACATCATACAGTAGCATGCAAATCATTTAACTAACCATGTAGTAAAGGGATTTGGTGATAAAAGCCGTGTATCAGCTCCTTTGATTTTACATCTATAAGATTCATCAACTTGGGTTTTACATAAAGCATAGTCAGAGAGCTACATAATGTACACCCAGATTGTACACCCAGATTGAAGCTGTGTGCCAGTATACAGCCCCGGCCTACAGTAAAAACAATGGAAGGTTCACCATGACCTGAAGGCTAAGTGATCATGAGCTTGATCATGCTGTGATGAGACATCTGTTGTCATTCGGTCACCAAATTTGTCCTTTAAACACAGAGAAACTAAGCAGAAGCAACAAATGTATGCTACCATATGTGCCTTAGTCATTAATAAGTCACATCTGTCCCCGAAAAAGAAAATCATAAAAGTTTTTGCAAGAATAGCTAGCAAAGGCAATTCAATGTACAAATATTGTTTCCTATCAACTGATCTTGAATTCATCTTCTCACTATGCAAGACAGGGTCCTGTTCCACCATTTTAGCTTTTTAGGTGAATTAAGGGCTAACAAGTTTGTTCAAATGACTGACCTTGACTTATATTCAAAGTCATAGGTGTCAAATATGTTTTAAACCTTAAAACGACATCTTCATAATAAACATAAGGCCCATAAAGATGATATTTGACCAGTAGCATGCTTGGATGAAGGGTTACTAAGTTTGCTTAAAGGAATATCCTTTTCCTTTATTCAAGGTACATTTTGTGAAATGTGTATAAACCTTAAAATGAACTTATCTCAATAAACAAAAAGTCTAGGATGGTGATATTTGGCAAATTGCATTCTGAGGATGAGGGCTATAAAGTTTGTTCAATGTAATGACCTTGCTTGAACCTTCAAAGTCACAGGGGTCAAATGTGTTTAAATCTTTTAACAGGTTCTTTTGAATGGCTTATAGTCATGACTGCTGATATTTTGTCTGTACAGCTTTATTTTTGAATCCACTTTTAAGGTTACAGGTCTGAGATTAATACCAGGCGAACATGGCCGGCCCATTGGGCCCCTTGTTTAACCAACGTACAAGACACTGACAACAAAAAAATTAACACCAGATAAGAAAATAAACAGAAGTTAGCATCTGTATAAAACACAAAAAGGTATAAAAAATAAAAATAAAAAAAATGTGAATATCAGAAAATTGAATTTTTAGCTCACCTGGCCCGAATGGCCAAGTGAGCTTATATGCCATAGAGTGGCATCTGTCGTCCCTCTGGCATCCGGTCCGGCGTCAAAACTTCACTTTAAACAACTTCTTCTAAATAACATATTTTCTTTTAAAAACACCTTAATTAACAGTCATTGTAATGAACAGCTCCATGAAAATGTGTAGACAATTTCTTCTGAAATCATGGGTGGTCTCCCTTGTTTATACTAGTATGGACTCCTGATCATCGGTGGGGTGATAAGACCGATTATCCCCCAGAGAGTCTGGCCCCACATTACCATTGTCATGGTGATAGGCATCGTAGATATGGGTATCTTCTTGGATGTATTGGTTAGTATTGGCTCGCCTGGAAAATTACAACCAAAAATGATTATCAGAATACAACTCATTATACAAATCATATTGCATCATTATTTATAAGACTGTTCTCAAAACACCATATAGCATATGACTGTACCCCAGTTTGGCGGTACATATGGGCGTAAGGGAAACGGTTCTAACAAGATTGATGGTGGTATGCAAGTTTTGCAGTACATTGGGTGACGATAGATGTATGTATGTTTACAAATTGGTCATCCGTTCTTGTGTAAATTATCTTAAAACTGTGTCGTCAGCTACTCAACCAGGTGGTTTCAATAATTGTCTTTCACATACAGTCCTTTACATGATAGTTGTTGTGAAACTCTTTAAAAAAGAAGATACAGGAGTGAGTTTTAGGTAGTGTAAACACTTAAATGTGTGCGTAGGTGGCACCTCAGGGTAGGGCTGTACCATTCCCTACTCAAAGGAGATACAGGAGTGAGTTTTGGGAACCGTAAACACTTAAATGTGTGTGTAGGTGGCACCTCAGGGTAGGGCTGTACCATACCCTACTTAAAGGAGATACAGGAGTGAGTTTTAGGTAGCGTAAACACTTAAATGTTTGGGCAGGTGACACCTAGGGTAGGGCTGTACCATACTTTACTAAAAATTCATACCTCCACATGACGATGGTAAACACAATTATGGCAACCAGCAAGATAAAGGCCAAACAGCCAACTATTACCAACAGGGCAACATCTGAAATAAAAACAAATGTTTAAAGTGTGATTATACATTTAGTCTTATTTGGCACATATAGAATCATGGGTGTTGGATAGGTTGACTTATCCACTATTCTTTCTTTTTCAAAATGTTTACTTAGTACATGAAATATGTAAATCTTTTTGAGGTAATTATCAAAAATATAAAGTGAAAAGTTCAAAAGTTCACTTGAATATAGATCAGAAAAAAGAAAAAAAAAACATAATCTAATGATAATTTGAATTTCTTTTATACTGCTTATCACAACCTAGGTTGTCCCAAAGCAGTTCACAAATTATCCGTGGTTATGAATCTTGATTTACCTTTATCTGCACTTGATTGTGCTGATGAAGGTAAATCAGGGTGGTCGGGTGGTGCAGGGTATACCACATTCGCCTTTCACCAAGGTGGCTAGTGTTTGATTCCCTAATCGGATGGAAAAGGTACGGGGTTACCTGCCCCACTACACAGGTTTTCTCTGTGATTAAAATAAGTTACAAAACTTGTTTCATAATTGTTGTAAAATATATTAAGTTGATATTATACTTACCTTCATCTGCTGACTTTGGTTGCAATCCAGCACTGCTTTGATTTGAATTTGGGGTAATACTTGATGACATTCCAGCGCTGCTTTGATTTGAATTTGGGGTAATACTCGATGACATTCCAGCACTGCTTTGAGTTGAATTTGGGGTAATACTTGCTGACATTCCAGCACTGCTTTGGTTTGAATTTGGGGTAGTACTTGATGACATTCTAGTAACTGCTGTATTTGTATTTAGGGTAATACTTGTCGACATTCCAGTAACTGCCGTATTTGAATTTAGGGTAATACTTGATGACATTCCAGTAACTGCTGTATTTGTAACTGATGACCACACATTCTCAGTGAGAGTAGAAATCCCTAGATTCTCAGTAGGAGTAAATGTATCCAGACTCTCTAGGATTCGTGATGTCCCTACATTTCCCACAACTGTAGAAGGCTGAACTTGTGTGTTGTCTAAAGGAATCACTGTTTTTGTATGAATCACTGATTTTGTAAAAATCATAGATTTCGTTGCAGACTCTTTTGTGACCATCGTAACTTGCATAGTTGATTTTATTTGCAATGATAAGTCAACACCTGTTGTTGGCAATATGTCTGCCAGTGTAGACCTTGAACCAGGTAATGAATCTCCACTTGAAACTCCAGTGGCCACAATGTCACTTTTACATTTGATATTTTGCCCCGTTTTGGTTTCTGAACAATGTATTAAGTTTGATTGGCTGCTGATTGTTTGTGTGGGAGTGGCGGAGATGTTGGAGTGCAATGAAAACGACAGATTCACACTAGAAATATCTCCTTGACTTTGGATGGTCCCGGTACTCATTGTAGTGTCTACAGTTACCTCCCCTGGTGTGGTAACTGGATACGGTTTGTCATACTGACACTTCAAAGACATTTCTGAAAACAAAAAAGACAAAGCTGTTTAGATACTTAAGCATATATATTTGCTGTGATAAATTTTAGAAACACTGGCCTATATAACATGATGTAGATCGTTCATAACATTGATACCATTCAATGTTTCTTTCAAAATTTGATTATTAGAGTTTCAAGCCATTGGAAAAAAATAAGCTAAGGGGAAATGATGTTTAATGGTCTTTTCTTCCATCTTCCAAAAAGTTTGTTTTCTTACAATTGTAAATGTAAAAGTACATAAACAACAGATTAACACATGACATAGAGTAATGTCCCTTTAAATCTTACCACGTCCTCTGAATCCAAGCCAGATCTTGAAAACTTGCTCATCAAGTTGGTTTTCCAAGACAAGGTTAATTTTTGTAAAATTGGAAAAGATGTTGGTGTTGAGAATATTTAGGCCGTTGTTGTGATGGGTACCACGATTTGTGGACATGATCAGGATCACCGAACTGTTTGGATCCCTGGTCTGCTGCAAAACTGTCCCATTAATGTTTTGACCAATCAGAGTACAGGAGCAGTTTTTCTGCCTTCCTAATATGTTACTTGGGAAATCTGGGGTTGCTAGGTATAGCTGTTCTGTTTGATGAAATGTGACATCACTACAGATGGTAAAGACGCTGGTTTCTGAAATAAAGCATCAGATAATCATGTACATTTTGTTTGTGGCTTAATTTGTTCAAAATTTATAAATGGCTGACTTACAGGTTTCTGTTATTATCATAAAACATCAGATTTTAGACTGTAATATCAGTCATCATTTTACCACTTCTTGGACCCTGAATCTCATTAGGTCATTATTTGTTTTTAGTATATCATATGAAGAAGAGGACTTGAGGTTTGCATCATGCAGTCAGTCTGTAAATCCTTCTGTCTGTTACTTTATCCAGGGTGAATCACATATACATCCTTCTGTCTGTTACTTTATCCAGGGCAAATCACATATACATCCTTCTGTCTGTTACTTTATCCAGGGCGAATCACATATACATCCTTCTGTCTGTTACTTTATCCAGGGTGAATCACATATACATCCTTCTGTCTGTTACTTTATCCAGGGCAAATCACATATACATCCTTCTGTCTGTTACTTTATCCAGGG